TAGTACACCAGGGCCAAGGGGACCGGAAGGAGGTTGCCTCTCTCCAGTTTGCACAAAAGTCCCACAGACTGGCTGTACCTGCTGCCCTATGCTCTCCTAAGCTCCAGTCTTGCTTTTGCAGCTGCCCACAAGACAGTTCCCCCAAATAATGCTGGCAGGTTTGCCACATCCAAAGTTGGAGAGGCAGCCAGATGAGTCATTGCTGATCAACTGGATGATTTTAAGATAGGTTCTCAATCACTTTGCTCTTCCATTTCACCCATTTTCCATGGACTTAGTCTCAGCCAGCTGTGCCCAGGCTGAAAGGAAAGCAATAGAGATGAGCAGGGAGAGATGGCTAGAAGGGAGGGAGGGCCAAAGGATCCTGAGGCTGGAAAGAGGAGATGTGGTAAATCAGACAGGAAGAAACTAGCTGGTTGCTTCCACACTGCCAAAGCTCTTCCAGCAGAGCCCAGGGACACTCTCAAAGCAAATGTTGCTGTTGCCCTTATTCTACTGTGGAGGAGACCAAGGCTAGCACAGGTTGCTCAAGGTCATGCAGTTACATGGGGCATGGAATCAGGTCCCACCTTTCTCTGGGCAGAATCCAATGAGGTAAAGGCTGGAGGGATGGCACTGGGATATTGGAGTGGAATTAGAGGAGAGACTGGAGGCACCAGGGTTGGAAGGAGAAGGGGACAAGAGAACAGATGAGGCCACCCCTGTCAGTGAGAGCTGGCTTTGCCAGAGGAGGCTGGAATGGAGCCCAGGGTGCTAAGGAGACTCCTAGAATCTGGTGCACCTGAATAGTCCTGACAGTTATGTGCTCCTGGGCACTGATTTTTCCTCTTCCTTTATCCCTGGAGAATAACCCTTTGGGTACAAACCCAACTGAAGCAATGATATTAAAGGTGTCAGTGAATGCTGGGTGCAAGTGGCTCACACGTGTAATCCTAGCTACTCAGGAGGCAGAGATCAGGAAGATCAGTGTGAAGCTGTCCCAGCTGATGAGACCCTATCTCAAAAAAACCCATCACAAAACAGGGCTGGCGGAGTGGCTCAAGTGGTAGAGCTCCTGTCTAGCAAGCGTGAGACCCTGATTTCAAACCCCAGTAACACACACACACACACACACACAAAAGGTGTCAGCAAATTCTTTGACCCTCCCAGCCCTGGGGGAGAGGGCCTGGTCAAGCCCTCAGAACCCAGACCCAACTCCACCCTGGACAGGCAGGCAGGATCTCCAAATGGGGAGGGGTGCCTCCAGAGAAATTCCCAAAGTTAAGATTCAGACCAGCACCTGCACCAAGCCAACTGCAGCCCTGTTAGGTTCCACAGCAGTGTGCAAGTCACACATTTTCCCTCCCTTCCCCTTCTCAGTCTACCCAACACACTTTTTGCTCCCCATCTCCATCTCTCCTAACATCTCTCTTTCCTTAATTATTTAATCTTAAACTATTTACAGAGTTCTGCCTGCACTCCCATTCTGCACAGACTCCTTTTCCTTTGAGTTCCACCTCATTGCTCCTGTGTCAAGGGCTCTGCTCCAACCCAGAAGCCCCTGGATTCCTCCTGTGGGAGGGCCATTTGCCCTTGGGTGGGGCCCTCCCATGGGCAGAACCCTTTAGCCCCTCTGACTCCTCCAACCTTGCCACTACTAGAACAAGGACCCCTTACTTTCTCCAAAACACAGGAGTCACTCAGTACTTCAGGAAGAGGACGCGAAATGGTGTGGTGATGCACATCTATAATTCCAAAACTCAGGAGGCTGAGGGAGGAGGATCTCAAATTCTGAGTCAACCTGAGCTCCTAGTGAGACCCCGCCTCAAAAAGGAAAAATAAAAAAGAGGATGGAAAGGAGCTGCCTCAGTTTCTATTCTAAACACCTCCCTCCTCAATGCTGGCCAAAAAAATTGCAGCCTAAGATAAGAGCAGAGTTGAGGGACTCCAGACCTTCATAATCCCATCTAATCTTCTAATCCCCCACTATCTAGATTCTCCAGAGTGCCAGTCTCCGGTGAGAGAATGTGGAAGAGGCAGGCGGTGGCAGGAATGGCCCACCTATCAAGTCACCTCTGAGCTAACTCTGAAGCTAAACCTGCCATGCAGGTTCCCCTCCCCCTCAGCAGGACACCGGAATGCAGGGCCCAAGGGGAAGGGGAACCATTTCCCCTCCTCCAGTCCCTCTCAGCAGAGGCTCTTTACACAACTTTGTTCTGGATGTTTCCCAGGGCCCCTCCAGCTCCGCCCCCCTCCACCGCCCCACCCCCCACCCCCACCCCCGACTTCTCAACCATGCCATTTCCTCTGTACCTGACTGCACCCCCATTGCTGGGAATCTGGGGACAAAATTCCTTATTTACACCTCTCTCCCCACTCCCCCAGAGATAGTCAAAGGAGTGAATGGCCTGACCACAGAGGAATCTGGAAGTGCCGGAAAAGGGCAGGCTGGCACTGGACGCAGGAGGTCGGTATTTGCCCCGATGCTGCAAGAGGTCCGGAATGCGGCCATCTAGTTAGCTATGGGAGATAAGGAGCAGCTGCAGCCCTCCTCCCCCAGGCCCCACACGGCCTCCACAGACCAAGAAGGGCATATATAGTGGGGTTGGAGCAGGGATTAGAGGAGGTTCTGGGAAGGGGCTTAAGGGAAGATTTCTGGGGTGTGGGTATCACTGCTGGTAGAATTCAATCTCCCCTCGCCCCAGGCATTTTACATGATTCGTGATTTAAAGATCTCCTACCCCTGAGCCATCTTTAGAATTAAATTGGCAAGGGGGATAAAGGAGAATAATGGATATATATATACATATATATATATATATACACACACACATATATGTGATACATATATACATATATACATACATAGATACACATACATACATATACATATATGTATTATAGTTGAATTCACTATACCATATATATATATGTATATATATAGTGGTACTGGGGTTTGAACTCAGGACCTACACCTTGAGTCACTCCACCAGCCCTTCTTTTGTGATGGGTTTTCCGAGATAGGGTCTCTCAAACTATTAGCCCAGGCTGGCTTCGAACCTCCATCCTCCTGATCTCTGCATCCTGAGTAGCTAGGATTACAGGAGTGAGCCACTGGCGCCCAGCATTGTAAGAACTTTTGTAAATGTCACAATGTGCCTCCAGTATAACAATAATAATAATAGAAAAAAAAAAAAACAAAGAATTAAACTGGGCCCTTATCTATGCCCTCCTGGGTGTGGCTGAGCCTTACTCTACAGTATGTAATTCGTATTTGTCAGAGGAATGAGTGCGTGCGAATTAACATTCACGTCCATTACCACCCAAGGAGATGGACTGGACAGGCTTTATTCTCCCTGTACAAGCAAAGAAACTGAAATTCAGAGTTAAATGACTTCCCTGAGGCCACACAACCAATAAAATACCCAAGTTAGCTAACTTAAATGAAGCTTTAAGACATCAAAAGGTAGTCCACGGTGTATTTAATCCATACACTTTACTGTTCAACTCTGGAACAGTGACAGAATTTGAAGGTGTAACGCCTTCAACTGACTAGATCCTCTAACATCCCAGAAGCCTCCATGCAAAAGCAGTGGGCATTCATTTGTATGTTAGTTTGCATTCCTTTTGCTTCCCAGCCTCCAGCAGCATTGAGCCTCCTGGCCAGCTCCCATTGAGTACAGAGGGGCTTTCTCACCCAAAGGCAGCAAGCCTGGGACAATCCAGAGTCACGCTCTGCATCTGCACTGGTCTGCTGCCCCTGCTCCTCCCAGGATCCCTTCCCCTCCAGGTCTCCCTACTCTCCTGACTACCCCCACTGCCTCAGTTCAGCTGGCAGCTCGATAAGGATCGATAGGTCCACTCCAGAGCAAAGAGCACAGCCCAGGACTCATTACCAGGCCCTTCCAGAAAAATAAGCCGCTGGTGCTGATCCACTTGAACCTCTGAGGTGCTCCTAGATCACTCAGCAGGGGGTGGTCATTCCAATTTGGGAGCTTCTTTACCTCCACTCTCACCCCGGAGTTTGTGGCTCCCTGGGGACAAGTTTGAGATCCTGAGAGCATTGTGAAGAGTGGTGGGGAAGGAAGGAAGAAGTTCTAGTGGAGGAGGGGGCAAGGGGCTAGCAACAGAGTGAGTCTCCACTAGAAAATTTCTAGGTATCCTTATCTGTCCTTTCAGGCCCGGAACCATATGGGACATATTACAGTCCTCAGGAGGAATTGTGTCTTGCTCATTGCTGTTCTCCTAGCTATGAAAACAGGACCTGGCACACAGTAGGTGTCCAATAAATACTTGTGGAATCATAAGTGCTCTGGAAGTATTTATATACCCCAGGATGTAGGTAAGGCTGAAATACAGGTGTACAGAAGTCGGGATGGGTCCCCTGCCCAAATCACAAAGAGTTCCACTGAAGCCAAGGCTCCTGGAGTTAGTTGCCCAGAGGTGGGAGGGGGTTCAGACTTGAGTTGGTATTCAGGAGTCTGAATTTATTTGGTGAGGGAATGTATTTTTGTGTATTTGAGAATACACCTTTCCATCGTTTTCTGTGGGAGTGGACACAGGTGACAGTGTTTGGAATGTGTGTGTGTAAACCATGAGATTTGAGGCTCAGGATTAAGTTTCTTTTCCTTTTCTGCAGCTCCCAACTTTTCTTCCTCAGAACTCTTGGGACTTCAAGATCCCCCCAAATCCTCTCTGCAGGTGGGAACTTGGTTGAAGACAGCTAAAGAGATCCACATCTCACTCCACCGCACACACCCCTAGACCCTCCAATTTTCCAACGTACCTGCACCTCCTGGACCTAGAGAGAGGATTAGGCACGTCATTTCCTCCCTAAAACACAGTCCTTTGTGTCCCTCATTAGTCACCCTTGGGGAGGGGGGATTAGGGAGGGAACTGGTGAGAGCGGTCTCGGTAGGGCTGTGCTGAGGGGGGAGGGGGCGGGAGTGGCCGACACGGTCCACCTGTGGGCAGGCTCCGGTGGCGGGGGCGGGGCCTGCTCGGGGGAGGTCCCCACGTCTTCCCTCTGAGATATAACTTAGGTCGCGGACCCACCACCCTCTGCAGCCGAACCTGCGACGTGGTCTCTCGCCTTCCTCCCCAGACAGCATGAGCTTCACCACCCGTTCCACTACCTTCTCCTCCAACTACCGGTCCCTGGGCTCGGTCCGATCGCCCAGCCACCGGCTCCGACCGGCCAGCAGCGCGGCCAGCGTCTATGCAGGCGCTGGGGGTTCGGGCTCTCGGATCTCCGTGTCCAGCTTCAGTAGCCGGGGGTCCGGGGGCCTAGCTGGGGGGACCATTGGGGGTCTGGCAGGAATGAGCGGCATCCAAAGTGAGAAGGAGACCATGCAGGACCTGAATGACCGCCTGGCCTCCTACCTGGATAGAGTGAGGAGCCTGGAGACCGATAATAGGAGGCTGGAGAGCAAAATCCGAGAACATCTGGAGAAGAGGGGGCCCCAGGTCAAAGACTGGGGGCATTACTTCAAAACCATCGAGGAGCTGAGAGCCCAGGTAAGGCCTGCAGAGGAGGGGGCCCCAACTTTCAGCCAAATTTAGCCGTCCAGATGTCTCTTACCACCAATAACAACCCCCATACACACACACTATAAGAACTTTATTAGGCGGTGTGGACTGACCCCATCCTTTCCACATCCACCCCACCCTCCAACTCCATGGGGTGAGGGTTAGGAATGTCCTGGATTTCCACCCACACTCCCAAACCAGGAACCCCAAGGGTAGTAGTTGTTCATGGGAGGGCTCTCCCTCAAAGATAGTGACAAGGAGACACGATGAGAGCTCTGCAGAAGTGGACAGCATGGAGGAAGGTGTGAAAAAGGCCATAAAGTGAACTTAGACACTCTACTTCTAGCTGAGTGGGGACAGTTGGAGGGTTAAGCGGATGTGGCTAGGCTGAGTCATGTAGGAGTAAACAGAAAGCCTACCTGTGGGAGGGGCCAGTCCAAGAGGTGGGGGGCCCAGAGCCCCAGATGAGCAGGTGCACTGGGAAAAAAAAAAATGCCAGAAGGGAGCCAATGGAAGAACTTGTTAGTAGCTGTTCATATCTGGGCAGGTCAAGGGCAGAGCCTAGGGAAAGGAGAGGAGGGAGGGAGTAGGTGAAAAGGGAGGATGCACAGGGAGAGCCTCGGGCTTAGGAAGGTTTCTCAGAAACACACATGTTCCACACACAGCCCACCCATCATTTGACTTTCTTGTCTTTCTCTAATACCCGCAGATCTTTGCGAGTTCTGTAGACAACGCCCGCATCGTCCTGCAGATTGACAATGCTCGTCTTGCTGCTGATGACTTTAGAGTCAAGTAAGTCTGGTGGGGACTGGAAGGTGGAGCCAAGAATCAGCTGCTCCTGGGGCTGTGTTGGGTAGGGGCTCTCTGGTGACTGAGAGCAGAGCTAGAGTCCATCAGCTCATTCATTTCACTGCTTAGTTGTGCAACCCAGTTTAAGCGCACTGCCCACCGACTGCCAAGAATGGCACTCGGGGATTGCCACCTGCTTCCTCACTCGGATTCCTGGTTTGTAATGGGCACAGCACAGCTTGTAGGAGGTGGCAAGGGTTGAAAAGGTTCTGGATCAATGATGGGAGCCCCTCTAATTATCTCCGTTCCTGTAGGTATGAGACAGAGCTGGCCATGCGCCAGTCTGTGGAAGCCGACCTCCATGGGCTCCGAAAGGTCATTGATGACACCAATATCACCCGTCTGCAGCTGGAGTCAGAAATTGAGGCTCTAAAGGAGGAGTTGCTATTCATGAAGAAGAACCATGAGGAGGCAAGCAGGGATTCAGGGACCCAAGACAAGCAAGAGGGAGGAGGATAGATAAGGCATCCTGGGCTCTTCTTAGTCAGCATGCCTGGTGGGTTACACGTACTCTGTGGCTCAGCCAAGCTACAGTGTGATGGTGAGGATAAGACAAGGAGATTAGGACAAAGATAGAAGCAGCCAGCACTAGGAGCTGGGGCTGATGGTGGAGCTGAGCTGGAGGGCTTCCTGGAAGAGGTATAAGCAAAAGGTCTGGAAGAAGAGGTGAAGTGAAGAGAGAAACCACCCATGAGTCACAGGTTCAGGCAGTAAGTGAGTGGCATTCCTTCCCATTTGGAGCAGAAGCCCAGAGCTGGCACAGCACAGAGTGTAAGCCCAGGGTTTTCCTCTGGTCTCTTCTCTGACTGCTTCCATAGGCCTCCCAGAAAAGAAATTCACAGATGAAGGGCCTGTTGGTGCTCTGACCCTGAGCCCTTCTCACCTTTGCTCCTGTCTTGTTTAGGAAGTCAAAGGCCTCCAAGCCCAGATTGCCAGCTCTGGGTTGACAGTGGAGGTGGATGCCCCTAAGTCTCAGGACCTTGGTAAGATCATGGCAGACATCCGGGCCCAGTATGAAGAGCTGGCTCAGAAGAACCGAGAGGAGCTGGACAAGTACTGGTCCCAGCAGGTACACAAGGGGAAGGGCTGGCTGCCAGGGTGTGGGAGGGAGGCAATCAGGGAAACCAGGGCCTCACAGACCCTACCAACCCTGCAGATTGAAGAGAGCACCACAGTGGTCACCTCTCAGTCTGCTGAGATTGGAGCTGCTGAGATGACACTCACAGAGCTGAGACGCACGTTCCAGGCATTGGAGATTGACCTGGACTCCATGAGAAATCTGGTAAGCGCCCTCTGGTCATCTGTCCCAGTTCCTCTAGACAACCCCCATCCTCTGTCAGTTGGCCTCGAGCCCAAATCCTACACCTCCCATCATGGGTTCCCTTAACCCATGAAAGAGAGTCATTTCTCTTTGCACTTCCTACTGCTCCTACTCCCTACCCTAACACTCAACTCAGACAAAGTCCTCAAAAAAGTTTTAGAGTGAAGGGCTGAGCAGTGTGGACTCACCCACTCCCCCTTCCTGTACCCTGCAGAAAGCCAGCTTGGAGAACAGCCTTCGAGACGTGGAGACACGCTACGCCATGCAGATGGAGCAGCTCAATGCCGTTCTGCTGCACTTGGAGTCAGAGCTAGCACAGACCCGGGCAGAGGGGCAGCGCCAGACCCAGGAGTATGAGGCCCTGCTAAACATCAAGGTCAAACTGGAAACTGAGATCGCCACCTACCGCCGCCTATTGGAAGATGGGGAGGACTTCAAGTGAGTGGGGGCTCTTTTACCCACATTGGGGTAGCTTTGGGAAGCCCACATGGACCCATTTGTTGGTATCTACTGAGCACTGGGCTGGTGGGTTGGGTGCCCCTGTGTCTACAAGGGAATGACAGTTACAAAAAGGCTCCCTCCCATGAAAAGAAATGACTTAAGTATTGCCCCTAGTTGTACTTAGGGTACAAGTGAAATTTGGCCTCTGGTTTCCCTTTTCTCGAGGAAGTGGCTGAGGGGAATTTAGAGATAAAGGTTGGGGTTTGTAGACTTTTTTCTCAGCTTTCCTTGTCTCCTACTCTGACGGGCTGTTTCTAACCAAGACTTTGTCTTCTGTTACAGACTCAATGATGCCCTAGACAGCAGCAGCTCTGTGCAAACCATCCAAAAGACCACCACCCGCAGAATTGTGGATGGCAAAGTGGTATCTGAGATCAATGACACCAAAGTGCTGAGGCACTGAGACAAAGAAAAAGGAGACCTTTGGGGAACAGAGGGCCAATAAAAGTGCAAAGCCCATTGACATCACTTTGCTTCTTCCTTGGCTGTTTTCATACTTGTGTGTAAATACTCTCTACAGTCCCATCTGTGACCAGGCAGAAGCCCCCTCTTGACTCCAGTTTCATATGGGTGGGACAGAGAGCAAATGAGGGGTCTGGGTTTTTAGAAACACCTTCTCAGAGAAAGAGATAGATGTTACAGCTCACAGTCCCAGCAATGGGGAAACTACAATAAAATTGCAGAATCTGTTGCCTTTAAGAGTCTGATGAAGGGCTAGAGGTGTGGCTCGAGTGGTAGAGCACTTGCCTGATGAGCATGAGGCCCTGAGTTCAAACCCTACTACAGAGAAAGAGAGAGAAACTAGGTGTGGTGGTACATGCCTGTAATCCAAGCACTTAGGAGTCAGAGGCAGGAGGATCATGAGTTCAAGGCCAGCCTGTGCCACATAGCCAGATCCTGTCTCAAAAAAACAAAACAAATAAAAGAGACCTGGTATCAGAAGGCCCCAGCCTGACAGCTACTTATTAACAGAAATCAGAGCCAGAGAAGGAAGTGGGGGCCAGACTGACCTTCCCCTGTCCTGCCACTCTGTATCTTTGGCCCACTGCCCAGAATCCTCACAACCCACACTCATTACCCCATACCTGTGGCCCCCACAGAAGGAAGTATCTGCATCAGCATCAGCACTCAGTGAGGAGAGTGAAGGAAATGTGATCTCTGGAAAGAGGCCACACCCCGATTTCCATGTAGACAAGGGGTGGTGGGTTTGAACAGGCATCCATGTGAGCGAGAATGAGTATTCAGGGCTGGGGTACAGTTCAAGTGGTGAAGCACTTACCTAGTAAGCATAAGACCCTGGGCTTAGTATCCAGCAATGCCCCCTTAAAAAGAAAAAAAAAAGAATGGGTCTCCTAAGCCTAATGGGAACATTACCATCCTGAGCTTTGATTGGAATTGTGGCATCGATCAGTGAAAACATTGCACATCTGAAATAATCCTATGCTTTGCTTGGAAGGATAATTCATCTTTCTTCACTTAAAAAAAGTATAAAAGCAACATGCACAAAATCCAAAAGCAAAGATGGGTAATTAAATGGAAAATCCCACTTCTCTGCTCTCCAGAGGTATCCACTGTTAAATACTTCTTTCACCTAGGCAACTGCAAACATTTCAGTTTGTTTTATATAACTAGGATTATATAGTTCTGCCTCTGGATTTGTTCAACTCTATACCTTGGACGCCTTTCTGAATCAGTAAGGTAGACTTGCTTCATTCATTTCAACAGCTGCCCACCACTATCCTTTTATGGAGTACAAAGTTACTTAACCTCTGGCCAGGATGATGGATACTGTTTAAACCTTCTCTGGATAAACATTGCAGTCCATTTACTTACTCCACTTCTTACTTTCTGTTCTCTCCTCAAACCCCATCACCCCATCTTTGCAGGAGTCTGCAAGAGACAAAGCTTTGGGGAAAGATAGTTGAGCTGCACTTTCTGAGATTTGGGTCAGAGAAGCAGTCAGGGTAGTTTTCTTGCTCCATCCCTCTTCACTGTCTTCCAAATATGCAAGTATGACACTGAAGTGTTTTCTCAAATCACTTGGATTTCCATGAGGGTCAGATAAGCCCCCCTGAAATGGATGTGGTGCCCTGGCTGGCAGCAATCACTATAACCCCTCCTCCCAAGGAATCCAGCTTTCCTGGGTTCCTAAAGCGACAGAGATACAGACAGCCCAACAGCCAGGAGTGGATGGGAAGCAAATGGGCACAAGGAGAGACTGCCTCCAGCCAGCATTTCAGGATGCGGACCTGCCCCAAAGCTAAAACAGAAAGTCCCTGACAAAACCCAAGCAGTGCTTGCAGTTGAGTCCAGCTGTCAGAGAAATCAAAGACACCTGATAGGATTTTCCCTCCTTGTAGACAATGCCTTACAGTTCCCAGGGTGCTTATGCATCTGATCCGCATTACAATCCTATGAGGTATGCCAGGCAGTGAATATTACTGGCTCTGGCTCACAGTGTTGGACGCTGAGAGCCACAGACATCATGTGACCTGAGTGAGGTCACCAAGCTAGGAGAGTAAAGCAGAAAACCACATCTCCAGGTTCCCAATCCCAAGCTTTTGGTTGTGCTATAACTTAATGGCTGCACGTTAGGTTGGGATCACCTGGGGGAGTCTTACAAACAACGCTGTGGCCTAGAGGCTCTGACCGACAGGTTCTGAGTCAGTTAGTCATGGGTGAGGCCCCAGTTCTCAGGAAATGTTTGAAAAGCTCCCTAGGTGATTGCAATTGGCAACCAAACTGGAGAACCAGGCCCAAGCTTTCCCTTGAGTCAGTACTATGGTACACCTTCACAATGCAGGTGGAGGCTGTGCCTATTTTAATTAAACAACGCCCAGCTGGAAAAGCCCCTAGACCTCTGGGGCAATTCTCATTCCCCAACAGGGAAAGGCCACTGCCTGAAGGGCAGCTCATCTTTGTCCCTAAGCACCAAAGGGGAAGATTACCCCTCCCAAGTTATAATGCAGAGTCACTGGTCCCAAATTGTATCTTTCCTGTTTCATCCATCCCTATCCAGCCCAAATGTTAAGCTATATCGTTCCATGGTGCAAAAATAAAAACGCATATGTAAACAAATTCATATGCACATATCCAGGTAGAGGCAAAGATTTCTGGAAAGATACACAAGAAACTACAACTGATGACTGCTTCTGAGAAGGGAAATGGATGTGGGGAAACGAGAGTGGAAGGGAATCTTGTTTTCCATCTGTATCCTTTAATAGCTTTTGAATCATTTATTACTAATACAGGGTCTCACTATGTAGCCCAGGCTGGCCTTGAACTTGTAATTCTCCTGCCTCAGCCTCCCAAGTGCTGGGATTACTGATGTGCACCACCATGCCCAGCCTTGTTAGCTCTTTTTAATGGCACAGAAACCATAGCCTTCCAGGGAAGGAAATGTTGCATCTGTCCCTCCCATTCATCCAATCTGAAAATGGAGTTTTTTCATTCAAGGCTCAAACTCCTTATGATTTCATATGCCAGGTCCGGCCACCCCTAAACTCCAAATAAAGAGGCATAGTGAAGGCAGACAAAGGAGGTTTATTTTTTTTATTTTTTTTTTTCATTTTTCTTTTATTATTCATATGTGCATACAAGGCTTGGTTCATTTCTCCCCCCTGCCCCCACCCCCTCTCTTACCACCCACTCCGCCCCTCCCTCTCCCCCCCCCTCAATACCCAGCAGAAACTATTTTGCCCTTATTTCTAATTTTGTTGTAGAGAGAGTATAAGCAATAATAGGAAGGAACAAGAGTTTTTGCTAGTTGAGATAAGGATAGCTATACAGGGCATTGACTCACATTGATTTCCTGTGCGTGGGTGTTACCTTCTAGGTTAATTCTTTTGACTAACCTTTTCTCTAGTCCTGTTCCCCTTTTCCTATTGGCCTCAGTTGCTTTAAGGTATCTGCTTTAGTTTCTCTGCGTTAAGGGCAACAAATGCTAGCTAGTTTTTTAGGTGTCTTACCTATCCTCACCCCTCCCTTGTGTGCTCTCGCTTTTATCATGTGCTCAAAGTCCAATCCCCTTGTTGTGTTTGCCCTTGATCTAATGTCCACATATGAGGGAGAACATACGATTTTTGGTCTCTTTGCCCAGGCTAACCTCACTCAGAATGATGTTCTCCAATTCCATCCATTTACCAGCGAATGATAACATTTCGTTCTTCTTCATGGCTGCATAAAATTCCATTGTGTATAGATACCACATTTTCTTAATCCATTCGTCAGTGCTGGGGCATCTTGGCTGTTTCCATAACTTGGCTATTGTGAATAGTGCCGCAATAAACATGGATGTGCAGGTGCCTCTGGAGTAACAGTCTTTTGGGTATATCCCCAAGAGTGGTATTGCTGGATCAAATGGTAGATCGATGTCTAGCTTTTTAAGTAGCCTCCAAATTTTTTTCCAGAGTGGTTGTACTAGTTTACATTCCCACCAACAGTGTAAGAGGGTTCCTTTTTCCCCGCATCCTCGCCAACACCTGTTGTTGGTGGTGTTGCTGATGATGGCTATTCTAACAGGGGTGAGGTGGAATCTTAGTGTGGTTTTAATTTGCATTTCCTTTATTGCTAGAGATGGTGAGCATTTTTTCATGTGTTTTTTGGCCATTTGAATTTCTTCTTTTGAGAAAGTTCTGTTTAGTTCACTGCCCATTTCTTTATTGGTTCATTAGTTTTGGGAGAATTTAGTTTTTTAAGTTCCCTGTATATTCTGGTTATCAGTCCTTTGTCTGATGTATAGTTGGCAAATATTTTCTCCCACTCTGTGGGTGTTCTCTTCAGTTTAGAGACCATTTCTTTTGATGAACAGAAGCTTTTTAGTTTTATGAGGTCCCATTTATCTATGCTATCTCTTAGTTGCTGTGCTGCTGGGGTTTCATTGAGAAAGTTCTTACCTATACCTACTAACTCCAGAGTATTTCCTACTCTTTCTTATATCAACTTAAGAGTTTGGGGTCTGATATTAAGATCCTTGATCCATTTTGAGTTAATCTTGGTATAGGGTGATATACATGGATCTAGTTTCAGTTTTTTGCAGACTGCTAACCAGTTTTCCCAGCAGTTTTTGTTGAAGAGGCTGCTATTTCTCCATCGTATATTTTTAGCTCCTTTGTCAAAGATAAGTTGCTTATAGTTGTGTGGCTTCATATCTGGATCCTCTATTCTGTTCCACTGGTCTTCATGTCTGTTTTTGTGCCAGTACCATGCTGTTTTTATTGTTATTGCTTTGTAATATAGTTTGAAGTCAGGTATTGTGATACCTCCTGCATTGTTCTTTTGACTGAGTATTGCCTTGGCTATTCGTGGCCTCTTGTGTTTCCATATAAATTTAACAGTAGATTTTTCAATCTCTTTAATGAATGTCATTGGAATTTTGATGGGAATTGCATTAAACATGTAGATTACTTTGGAGAGTATCGACATTTTTACTATGTTGATTCTACCAATCCATGAGCATGGGA